GAACAGTCCGATGATCATTTTACTGATATGTATAAAGACTGCAAAGGCTGAAAAATCTTGAAGTCTGTATGAAATTGGAGGTAGTTTGAGGATTAATTTTTTTATGCTTTTTAAGCTCAAAAAAGTGGGGGTCGTATTATACATGAATAAATACGGTATGTCTCTTATTTGATATACTTAAGGAGAAATTCTTAAGTGTTTGTTCATTTATCCCAAATCGTATCATGCATTGCGGGTTTTCCTCATATCGAGCAGCCCTAGTCTGTTAATTTCACTTTTAAACGGTGTCACATTTGTAAGGATCATGCGTTTGTGGGATGAGCAGTATGATTATGTGGGTTGCGCACATGAAAAATTTGCCAAATCTTCTCTAACAGCGTATTTTCCTGTTGAATCTCTTGTTTTGAGATACAACAATGGAWTGATCTACCAAACACAATTTTCTTTACTTTTTGTGCTAAGCTATGCTTTTATTTTCACAATTTACTAAAGGATATAAAAAGAAAAGAAACACACAAAGTACAAAGCTGTACTTTAGTGTAGTATTTGGGTTTTGGGGTTTAAGTAAATGCCCAAAGATACAAAGGATATTGAGTGAAAAAGAGCAGCTTCAAGTGTTTTTGTTTGGGCWTTTCCCACTATTTGGAAACACCTCTGCATATTTTACAATCTCCTCATAATTCACTTTTTATTAACGTCCTCTTTTACACACCAGAGCTCGTGTTTGCACAGCCTAAATGATAGGAAAAGAAAAAAACTCTGGAAAGACTGATGATAAATAAAGTATCAGTTTGTTTTGTCATAAAATTTGTTATAAAAATGATTAAACGAGGACGTGCTGGAGTCAAAAGCTGCCTAATTTATGCACTTGAATCACCTGAGAACCATTGTTTTGTCCCTGTGTGTGGATCTGTGTAGTCCTTCAGAAAGGAGGAAATGTGAGCAGGTGAACCCCCTGCTGGTGGGTCTAAAGCACCACATGGAAGTCAGTCCACCACTGGTGGCTCCAGACAAAAGGTACCACATGATTTGRCATGAGGGGGAGACTGCAGTGCCTCTGATGTGGGAATGTGGTCAGCAGCCGATGAGATAATGGAGTAAAATGAGGAAGACGATGACATCACTGTCTCATAAATCTAGCTGGTGCTCGAGTGTGATGGATGTTAATGCTGTGAAGCTGCTTGTTGAAGCATATRTGGCTTGAGGTTTGCTTATTTTCTCATATTTCAGTAAAACTATGAGCAAAGTGTTTTTAGTTCTGCACCTTATATTGCCTGGCAGTCAGATTAACTGCTCTAATTGGTGCGAGGCTTTAATGTGTACTGACAGACCCGACGCACTACAGCGGTGTTAATTGCCACGTTGAACAGCTAATTTCAACTTTCACCAGGCAGCTTAACGTGTTTCAAACTGCACAAAAGAAAAGCCAAAGAAGARAAAGTTCAAGCTTTTGTGTTAAAAAGGATGCATCGGTCTGAAAAGCCGTCACTGTGGGAGACATCTGGTTTGTTCCTTTTGCAGGCAGGAACAGGAATCAGCTTGTTGCGAAGCAAAACCTGGCAGCTGCAAACACTTTACTTTATTTGCTGCTGCGGCCTTTCRTACAGAAAGCAAAGCGAATCAGACTCGGGCTTAAATGATGGCTTGGTCGGGAGGATGTGTTTACAAATCAACACCCGCAGCTGAACTTAATCATTATTATCCTGTAAAAAAAAAGAAAAAAGAAAAAAAAAGATGACCTCTACTTAAACGTAATTGCAGACAAAACACCAACCAGATGTTTCTGCTCTCTAGAATCTTTCATGGTGCGAATGATTTGTTAATCTTACAGATTAGTGCATCTAAACGTCATATGTTGTGTTCTGTATCTGATAAAACCGGAAAAAGAAGCTTAACTCATGCAGCAGCACTATTCAGTCTATAAAATCTAAAGTTAAAGACCAATAAAAGGTAACTTCAGCACTAGACAAATGTTCTGCAGYATTAGCAGCGGCCATTGTTTATKTTTGCCGCAGGCTGATGACATCATCCTGGTTATCTGCTGCTAACTTTTACTAACACTAAYGCTGCTGAAGATAATATTTAAAATCTAAATTCAAAATGTGTTTATATGGTCCAGCAGTTTGMAGTGCAGCTCAGACACCRGCCRTAACTGCAAGTTTGATGTCTTGTAGGGAAGCTTTAGCTGCRTTGAAGAGCTAGCAGGTGCTATTGTCTCAGGATGATGATGTCATCACATGAGCCGACGACCAACAACAAAGGCTGCGTTCCATTCCAAAATAYCTAAATGTGAACTTCATTTAAGAATTAATGTTTACATTTAATGATTTGATTCAATGATTTATTCCAGACATGTCATATCATTGCATCTATATAACTCAATATACCCTTTTCCATATCTACAAACAATAAAAATAAATAAATAAATAAAACCACTTGGACTAATTACACACAAATAAATAAACCCAAAATAATAATTACCTGATGTGCACACACCTATCTGTGTCCACATAATAAAGCACATAAATCCCATTGACATGTCTGAAAAGGGGTAGGAAAAAGTAAAACTTATTTAATCCTACCCCTATTCACCATTTCATCTGATTTTCAGAATGTTATCAGTTTGTGATGAAAACAAAACAAAAAAACAAAAACAGATAAAAAACATAAAATAGTACATGAGGTAATCCACTGTTATTCTAATACTAAACTGCAGTTTAGATTTAAACATTTAGATTTAGGATTTAACATTTGAATCTATTTTTTAACATTTAAATTTAATGTTTAGTAAAAATGAGCTAAAAGAAAGAACAGTGAGATAATAACAAATATGTTAGTGAATTTTTTTTAACATTTCATTTTACATTTGGCGCCTCATAAAGTCCCGCATATTTACTAACACGCCTACTGCTCACTCAGGAACAGAAATCCCAGAATAGTCGCCTGGAGTGCAGCTGTGTTGTGTGTGCTTGTGACAGAAGCCCACGCCTGAACATGGGCTTCTTGTGTTCTAATAACACTGTTCAGTGGCATCGTGGAATGAGCAGCTGCCTGCCTGTTTGGTCTAAACGTTTCACCCTGCCTCCGTCTCAGGCCTGATGGCTGCCGCCCGGCAATCACAGACGTCCAGCCTCCGCCTCCGCCTTCTGACGCACCCCGCCCCGGATCCCCATCAGCTTTCTTAGACAAGGAACTCCAAGAAGCCTTCCTAGAATGTGAGGAGGAAATGGCCTCACTGTTTATGCTTACGACCCCCGAGATGGTTTGTAAGAAAGGGAAGGAAACCAGCGAAGTGATGGGTAATAAGTCTAATGAGTCATTGCTGCTGCCTCCTACTGTAGACCATCCAGGACAGAGCAGTGGAGCCCATGGAAACAAGAACACACATGGGGACAGTCAGACAGATATGGTTGTGTTCAGTTTTAGGGATTACATCCTGGGCACTGAGAAAAAGCACGAGACAGCAGGAAGAGAAATTAGGCCGGAAAAAGAAACAGAGAGGGAAACACCATCACGTGTTCAATCAGAAATAAGAGCTGTAAGTCAAGAAACTTCACAACACGTAGAGGAAAATGACAGTTCAAAAACAATAACAGACAATACCATCAACAAGGAAGAAAATGAGAAAAGTATGAGTGATGTGAATATCAATATGGGTGAAACTACTGCAGATAATTTAGCTTTAGAAGCATCAGAGTGTAGCAGCGCTAAAGATGCATTATCAGAGCTGCAGACAGGAACAGGCAGGCACCATGAAGACAATCGGTCAGAGTCACTATCAGACAAATGGACGACTTCAGCGTGTGGCGAACAGCTTGGCCAGAACAAAGAGGCAAAGAAAAGGAAACACCGGAAAAAGAAAAAGACTGAGAGGAGCACCGAGGGCGAGCGGAAAGCGCCGTCGCAGTCGGGGAGCGGAGGCGCCGTAAACGTCGACCCTCACACAGATTCCCCACGAAATGCTGCATCGGTGTCAGAGGAAGAAGCTCGGTTTGTGATTGCTGATAAAAGGGTTGATTACAAGCAGCAGCTGAGTCCACAGGGAATGCTCATCTCTTGCTCACTGCTACAATCCTCTCATAGCGGCCCGGATCATCTTACTGCCTCAGCCTGTTCACCTGTTTCTAACCAGGATCTTTCACAGAGGCCCAATCAGTCAGATAACAACAACCATATGGATTCTCAAAGTGTTATGAATCACAACCACTATGAAAGCTCACATGTAAGCGGAGGACAAACACCGGAGTCTACGGTTACCACTAAAATAAAAATACCCACACAGGAAAATCAAAGCACACTCCCAAACAGAAGCGCTTGTGTGGGAGAGAGTTGCACTGAGAGCGGCCTTGGAGAAGCTTTAATAGTGGTTCATGCGTTGCCACTGACAACACCCACACTGCCAGAAGTGATAGAAAGCAAGGGAGAGGGAGAAAGCATGAGGTGTGATTTACAGGCGAGAGCAGATACAGTAGYATTCGCAGAGAACGAGAGGGGAGATGGAGACAGAAAGCTGGGAGAAACAGAAAAGTCCCTCGACTCTGCAGACGAGGAGCGAGACGAACTCCTGGATAGTCCTCATCAGGTTTCATTAATCTGCTCACGGGGAGACTGCACACTTGTTTTCTCGGCCGACGAGGGACAAATCGCATCCGAGAAAAGCTGCGGCAGCAAAATGCCACACAACTTGGCCGAGACCGAAACGAGGGGTCTGCGAGAGACGAGCGTCCGCGGATCGGACGCAGAGACCTCACCGTCTGAGGAGGGGGATGCAGGAAAGGAGCGGCTGCGATCAGACGCCTGTATCAACACTTCCCCCTTTGGGCTGCTCACTGGTCCCAATTGTCGAGATCAGAGTGCTGCAGGATCGCAAAGAGGAGGAGGAGAGGAGGTGGGAGAAAAAGAAGGAATAGCTGGAGAGCAAATTTCATTCAGCCAGCCAGATGTCTCTGCCGGTGTGGTGTCATCAGCCGAGACAGAGACGAGTGCGTTCAGGGATGTTGCCGAGTCACAGATGAAGTCACGGAGCTGGAGTGAGCTGATCACCGAGGGCATCGGCTTTGAACGGAACCATCGCATCCTCCCATGCCAGGAACAGCATGACACAACAGTTTTACCTCACCACACTAACACCAAGAGCTCCGGCAACACAGGAGGAGGGACGAAGTCTGATCTCACACAGGGATTAATTTCAGAGGAAGCGTTGGATTTGGGACAACATCGTGAGAAGTCATCCATCCTGGAGAGAAACCACAACCAAGTCTTCCAGTCTGTAAGCCCGCCTCAGCATTTATTTATTCCAATGCAAAACATGCAACAAGCAAACCACAATCAACAGGTTCAGCCCGGCAGCACAACCGAAGCAAAAACGGATGGAAGCACAGCTGAATTTCAAACGCAGAGCAACACCGGTGGTCCCGATGTGTCTGGAGTGGACGTCCTTCTATGTCAGAGTAAAGGTGCCCACAGAGTTCACTTTGCAGATGATGTGAAACAACCGGACAGTTCTTCACATCCTAAAATGTTTGTTACAGCGTTGGACTGCGCCTCGTTACCTCCAATAACCGTTCACGAGACTTTGCACCATCCGGTCACCGAGGCCAGCTACACCTTCCTTAATCTGCTCGGCCTGACCGAACCAGAACCCCCCACAATCCCTGCTCCTACCAAGGATGAAGAAGCAACAAATAATTCAAACAACTTYCCAGAGTCACAGAAGAATGTTATGTTGGAGAAAGATGAGTTGACCAATGATATGACAAAAGAGATGGGTACGGATCCCTTAATTCATGACAACCTTGAGAGAAACTCCGAAGGATTTCAGGCAACAACCGGTGCAAACACAGAGGTCTGCTCAGAGTCTGAGCAGAACCAGAAGAACWATGAAGTTTGGATTGAGCCTGATAAGTTGCTCACCAAGCCTGAAGACTCAGGTGAGACAGAACTGCTTCAAAATCCGTCTTTAAAACAAGATGTTTCTGTGAATCTGGAAGAAAAAGAAGAGACCCAGCTGCTTTCATGTACTGTTCCAGCTGATGATGAGTTACTTGAGGAGCAGATTTCTGCTGACCTTCCCTGCAGCTCAAAAACTGAAGCTACTGACCCCAGCTTTATATTGAAATCACCTCAGAGTGGACAGGCCAACATGGACCCCGTGAAGGATAACGAGGACTCAAACGAAGCAGAAGCCTCAGAACAGTTGAAACCAGCAGTCAGCCAACGTGTCATGGTGCAGCCTCCCGGCCCGATGTTGAGTCACCTGGATGTTAATAGTGACTGTGATATCTCTCTTCYGGAGTGCACAGATAACCGCAGTGCTGATGGAAGCTGTGCTGGTGTCTCCAGAGAGGTGGACAGCAATAAGGGCAGTGAAGTGTTACGAATGTCTTTAGCTCAGGATTTGAAGCACGGTAACGGGGGTACGGCAGAGGAAATTTCTCCAGAACTAAGAGATCTAAACAACGTCAAACAGTCTGGTAAAGAGCAGAATTCAGTTTCCAATATTGTAAATATTCCTGCTTCAGARGAACATGCAGCTCAGTCTCTTATTGCAGTTGATGTGCAATCAGAAGTTGAAGCCACTTGTGTAATATCTCACAACTCTACCGACTTTAAACCTGTGAATATCAGCTGCCCACTCWTCTCTGAGCTGCCTGAAAGTGAGACACGTGGTAACATTAAAGAAGAGAAAGACGGAGTGAAAGATGAGATGTTTATGCTTTCCAAGGAGAAAAAGAAACAAAATGAAGAGGTAGTCACGGATAATCAGAAGGAAGCAGCAGACGGCAGCAAGCAGCCGACAGGAAAGACGGACTCAACTCTGCAACAGAGAACTGAACCAGATAAAGAGGCTGGACGTGCCCCGCCGTCAACAGATGTAACAAMAGAAGGAGAACGAAAGACGAGTTCTGCATCAAAATGTGAAACTTTCAGCAAAACTTCAGGGAAACCCAAGGAGACGCTACCAGCTGCTAATGAAAGTCAGACGGTTTACGTTCAGAGTTTGCACGGAGCTGGAGAGGCGGCGCTGGAATGCAGCTCTGACACTGCACTACATTCGAGTCCAGCTCTTGGCCAATCTCTCTCCTCGCAAGATCTAAACAGTTTCGCTCAGCAACGAGAGCAACAGCAGCGRCGGYGTCTGGGAACCAGACATTTCACAGAGGAGCTGTCTGGTAGCGGAGAAGGAGAGGAAGGAAAGACTTACAGTCTGGCCCGGCCACCGGTTCCAGACACAGAACCGGGGTCAAAGGAAGGAGGCGGCTCTTTTGAGCGTTTGTGTCAGTCAGAGAAAAAGAATATGTCAGATGGTCACAGCAGTGGTAGTGATATTGTGACAGTTCAGGAGGAAAACAAGGAAGCACAAACTTCAGACAGAGGTGAGAGTGTTGAAGAAAGAGATGCAGGTGTAGAAACTGCTTTCTCTCACATAGGTGAGACAGTAATGAGTACAAATTTAATGCTGAACATGAAGTCTAGTTGTAAAGACCAGGTGCAAGAACCTGAAATGTCAAAAAACAGAGACGTATCTGTCGAGTTTGCTTCACAGCGACTTGAGACTTCCCATAACTCTGTTTCATCAAAGCTTAGCTCAGATAGTCGTGGCATTCATGCAGATGTTATTCAGAGCGCAAAGCAAGATGAAGAAATMCAGGCGAAGACTTTTAGTAATATCCCAGATCCTAGGGAGCGACCAGAAACCGGGGGAAAGAATTTAAATGTTGTAACAGCTAGTGGGAGTGTTGAAACTGTGGTGTGTGAAATTAAGGAAAAACAGCAACAAAGCARCAGTAAAACTTTAGCCACACAGAGAAACCCAGCAGAGCAAASGGCCATAAAAGGCTCTGAAGTTGAGGGAAAAACAAAAGTAGATGAGGCGTTCGAGGAGGAAGTTATTAGCGAGCGGAGGAAACAAAGTGAGATGAAATTTGCTGACGGTGGAGAAGAAACAGAAGAGCGGAGGGATTCAAAGTTAAACGCTAAAGATGATGAATTAGAATCGGCCTCAGRTCAAAGTGGGAAGTCGCTCAGCAGCATTGAGACTGTGGTTTGTCCCTCAAAGGGACTCATTTCAGCAGAAAATAATGACAAATCTAATAAAGTGGCTGCTGATGTCGCCACAGTCCCATCTGATGTTTCGTCAAATCACGCCAGAGATTTCCCATCAGCCACTGTTGTAGCTCCTAGCAAATCAGAGGCTCCCCACGATCAGAAATGTGATGGCTTTACGGTAAATCCCCCTCAGTGTGACAGAGAATCACTTCAAAAGACTCAAACCTGCAGTCCCGAGCTGCAGGTGAAAGCAGAAGCTGCTCATGTGTCTGCAAGTCCTGCTTCTGGGCAAGCAGCCCAAGAACCAGACACAAACTGGATAAAAACCCTGAAAGAAGCTGCATTGGTGGATACCTCGAGGTAAACACAAACACATGTGCACTCAGTGTGTGACGTCATTAAAATGAGAAAATACCTTAAAAGGGAGTTAATAAACTTTGTTTATTTTAAGTCTGATTGCAGTTTTTTAACTAAACATTGCAGTAACACCCTTTTTCAGGTCTTGTTTGAAGCTATTATTGTGCAGAGCAGTCTGACTGTGAATATGAATGAGGAGGAGGTAAACACAGAGCTGCACTTTGTATTGAATCGAGCTCAGTCATATGACTCTGCCCGTTGAACTCTAATGGAAGTAATGCAGCCCATTATATTCAAAGGGTGACATCAGCTGTGACACCGTCCCCGGTCTGCAGGGCACGAATCAGCCTCCTTTTAAACAAAGGACACTTCTCAACACAAACACACCTACAGTGTTTCTGCACACTTCCAGGAATTATACCCTTCCGTTTCTACACATTTTTCTAAGTAAACAACAAATCCTCTAATTTTATTTTCTTGTGTTTTTTCCAGACCACTCCCGTCGCTGGATTCACCTCAGCTCGAGTTTCTAACTCCCACTGAGGAGGTAGCTCTTCTTCCGAGGCAAGAACAAGTGACTCTACCTGCAGAGCAACCAGAAGAAAACACAACACGCAGTTCATCTCCACTTTCTGTGACGAGACCAGTAGATCTTCCAGAACCATTAGAGAAAACAGTAGATCTTCCACATCTGTCACAAGGTACAGCAGAGCTTTATGAACCAACACAGAGCTCAAAGGCTGAGATCTCCAAAGAAAAGGCAAAAGTAGTCAAATCGTCGGAGCCAACCGAGACGGCAGGATATCTAAACGACTTTCCAGGATCTGACGGGAAACCTGATGAAGTAAAAGACGAGCAATCCGAAGTTTTGCATTTTGTCAAACGGCTGGATGAAATCCAAGAACCGACAGAAACTGTGACAGAATCACAAGAACCAACCAGTACTGAAGCTCTGCAAGACGAAAACACGACAACAGAGATTTTTCAAGAGACGCTACCAAAGGATTCTGAAGTTAAAGCAGCTGAAGTCTCACCTGTGGAGACGTTCGAAGTCCAAACTGAGAGGCCTGAAGTGACAGAATCCATCTTCCATTCCTCTGCAGAGATACAGCACAGCGGGTAAGAAAAGATACACTTGTAAATTAACAACTTTCAATCAATGCTGGCCACTAAACTGTGTGATCATTCTTCTTTTGGTGGCTGCTGTCACAGAAAACTGTTCCTCCAAATCTCAGCAGAGTTTCTGCGTGTTAGTTCACACATTCTTCTGCCTTTCACACGTTTAAAGTGGATTTATTCAGCCTGCAAACACTCGCAGAGTGACTGGTTATTTCTGGCTGCAACAGTTTATCAGTATCTGATTAGATAAATTAACAGGAATATCATAGTCAACCAGTTTTATGTCATCCTTCATTTGGGCTGTCCTGGTTTTTATTTCTGATACTTCAATCTAACAACTTCTGCAGACGTTGTGCTATTTTAGCTGATATTATATCAAAAACATTCAGCTCATTTAGGAGATGGGTGCTTAGACTTTTGATTTTATAACTTTTGTACTTCTGGAAGTCTAACTTCACAAATGTTCTCTTGTTTAGTCAGCTTTTGGCTGCTTTCAGCTTCTAGCAAGCCTTTTCCTACTTTTAGTTCTTGCTAACATTGCTAACATTTAGACACTTTAAGCTAGCTTTTTCTTATTTAATTTATTTGATTAACTTTTATTTAACTAGGCAAACACAACTGAGATCAGAACTAAGCTTCTCCATTTAGCTCTTTAATTAAATTTAGCTACTTTTAGATTTTATTTTCTGCTACTTATAGCTTCTTGCAAACATTTAGATACCTCAAGCTAGCTTTTTCCTACTTTTATTTATTTTTTATTAACTTTTATTTAATAAGGCAAATTCAGAGATCTCATTTACAAAGAAAACTTTATGTACTTAGCTAAGCTTTTTCCATTTTATTTTAGTTTAACTACTTATTTTTAGAGAAAAACATGCTTACAAAACAAACATTACAGTCTAGCAAATATGGATTTAATCTAAAAAAAATACTCAATTAGATAAGCAAAGAAAACAATGAGAAAAAGAGAACAAATGGGTGTGGGAAAAAATAAATATAAATTAAAGTAGATATATTCAAGACAAAACACAGCATACAGTATATGGATTAATATAGCTACTTTTGGTTTTTATCTAGCTTTGTGCAGAAAATGCAGTTTCTTTCGTTCATTTAGACATTTAGTTTTAGCTAAACTTCTTCAAGATATTCCCATGCCGTCGTCCTGTGCAGAAATAAGTGCTATATTATTTATTTATCTGGTCCTCCACGTTGAGGAGCCATCCACATGCTACAGTAGCATTTGCTGCCTGTCTGTCTCAACACTTGTCCCATCACAGACACAGTGGTGTCTTCTTAGGTTTCATCAATAGATAAGGTTACACAGATGGAAATGTGCATGGGCTATAATGTGCGTGTTTATACATACACACACACACACACACACACCGGTTCGCCCAGCTATACATTTGGAGACATTCCATTGACTTCCATTACATTTCTACAGCCTAACCTTGACCACAAACCCTAAGGCAAACCTTACAGGTACCTATCTGACCCTAAAACTAACCTAAACTCAATTCACACCTTGGTCCTAAACCCAACCCCCAACCCACCGATGACATTTAAACCAAACGAGGACTCAACTTAGGTCCCCAAATGCACCAGTTGTCCCCAAAGTTAGGCGTTTTGTCTTAAAATTGCCCCCAAATGTCACCAAAAACAAACCCACACACACATTTGTTTTCCTCCCCTTGCCCTCACAGGCTGTCATAGCTGTCAGTCTCACTCAGTCTGTGCAGCTTTGTGAACTGAAGCCCTCAGTGGGAGGAATTTAGGCAGCCACTCAGTTCCACTGAAGTCATCCGCACGGACCAGACTGAGTGGAACAAAAGCCAGGCTCCAGAGAAGCACTTGAGCATGTGCCGGGGTGTGAGCGTGTGTGACGGAGTCAGCCGGAGTCGCACACAAGAGGGGAGAAGGACTGGAGGGCGCAGTCACAGACGCTGGAGTTTCAAACTCATTTAGCAGTTCCCAAAGTTTGACSGTTGTAACGTCCGAAGCAGCGAGATGGATCCGTTTGTGACTAAAATCTGGGTGAGTTGACAGAAAGTAGCCGCTCTGTTTTTTTTTCTTTCAATCAGTGTCAGAGTTGGTGCTTAAGAGCTTGCAGGTGGAGGCGGCAGATGGYCCGTAGATACCTGTAGGAATTAAATCGTTGACCTCAGCAGATGGACGGAGGGGGCGGGACGCAGAGGAAATGAAGTGGTGGAAGACTTTTGTGGGACAAAGTTGGGCAAAGAACCTCCTCCCAYTTTAAAAAAAGTCATGTTAGAGCATGTTTGCACCCTTCCCACACCCTTTAATARTGATAAAATTTGAAATTCCTATTAAAATAACAAACTTTTCAAATTTGAACGTCATTTAATAAATAGTTCTGATCATTTTTAGCTAAAATAATATGTCCAGTTAAAATACATTAATGTTCTTTGAAGCTTTATTAAGAAAGCTTCACGACTGTGACTCAGTATTTAGTGTGTTAAATGTATTTTCTTCACAATTTTAAAAGCCTTGGCGGGACTTCGGATGTGTTAAATCTGTAAATATATGCTGTAAAATAGAGCAGTTGTCATGGTGCTTCTATGTTAATTTGTCTTTGCTGACATAAGTGGCAAAAACTCCTTTTTCTTGACTCACTAGACTGCTTTAAAAATGTAAACAGTAAATAGGTTCATTTATAGTCGACAGGGTTTTTTATTAGAGTGTTTGAGCTGTTGGGCAGAAAAGATCTTCCTATTTAAGTTTTTTACAAACACTTTCCCCTGAAACCTTTGCTTAGGTTACAAGTCATTGCTTGACTTAAAACACCTGGATCTTTGAGTCCAAATGTTTTTTTTTATTACAGATTAAAATACAGTATGTGTATGCACGCAGCTTAAAAATAGCATATCTAATCTGAGTATASTTCTCATTTCTAAAGCTAGAGAAAGAGAATTTCTTACATGTTTTCATGAACCAGAACAGAAGAACAATAAACAACTGTATTGGACCGCCTCCTGGTGATAATCGCAGCAGTAAAATGGAGTTGATGTCAGACTGAGTATAAAAGTACACTCCATCTGATTTGTTGTACTTATGTTGTTATGATGAAAAAGCTTACTTTACATCGACTCTGAGTCTGAGCTATGCTGAAAATCTTCAGCTGTTCCTCTGAGTGGGTCAGCTGACAGCGCCTCCACATAAAAAGGGCACTTCTTTTAATCAGTAAATATATTCCACTCTTCAGARGCTCAGTTCAATCTTATTTTCTGATTTCTTTTTGTTTCACCACTGAAGTAGTACTGCTAAACAGTTCCTGTCTATRTTTAAAGGGAGCAGCTAGTCTCATCTAGCAGCACTACGTTTGGCAAAAACCAGACACAAATACTTCAAACCAACTGTCAAGCACGGTGGTGGAGGGCTGATGATTTAGGCTTGTTTTTACAGTGACAGGGTCTGGACATTTTACAGACAATAATAAAGTTTAGATGTTACTGTTTGCTTCAGTCTGAAATAAACTCTGAATGGATGGTTTATTTAGTTTATTTCATTCATAAAAACAAAAGAATCT